TACATGAAGGTTATTTTTTTGGTATTATTGAAATTCAAACCCTTAATTTTAACTTAAAATTAATGTTTTAAAATTAGTTGGCCAAGATTTGTTGGTTCTTTCTTTATTTTTTTAGCAATTTTGATATAAATTTTATGATAAGAGATAATTTTCTTATTTTTCAATTTAAACACAAAATCTCTAATATTGCAAATTAAACTTTTAATCATTAACACATTTTTAGAGGCTATATGCAGTTTGAATAGATAATAAATGTTGGGCCTACCAATTGGGCTCAACCCCCTTATCCAAAAAGAGAAGCTCACTTCATGTTCATTTTTCCTTGAAATTCCGATTAAACAGAAGTGGTATATTAGATTATAGAGTACGCAACTTTGAGAACTTAAAAAAATTCAAAACGTCCTTTAATTATTTGACCGACACTTGATTAACTAAAAGCAAAGAATTGAGGTGAGTGAGAATCAAAAGAGCAGGGGAGTGCATGAAGAACCATGCTGGTTTTAGAAAGGCAGAGAAGTTGCAACAATATCTTTCTCATCAAGAGTTATAAGCATATATATATATATATAAGCATATAAAGTAATATAGTATTTGCATCATAGCATGAAAGCATGGGGCAACAACTTTGACCGGTCACTCCATGGCAATCAAATAGTATTTATAATTCAACCTGTCTGACACTTTACCAAGAGATCATGGTTCAATTCAAGCTTTCCTCAAGTCATGTGCTCCCCTAAAGACTAAAGCTAGCTAATATTAGAATCGCCCATGGGAACGTAGCCTAGACCCATCCATAGTCTATATGCCTCCCCTTGTTTCTTCCTGAAGTAACTAATTTAATTTCAATTACATGATATATGTGGAGATTGCACACCAAGCCAGATTCAAATATCTAAGAAGGCTACAGGAAGATGGCAATACGTTAGCTGACATAGATAATATATATACCTTTGACCATGCTGGTAAGAATATTGCTTGATAAAACATCTGAACAAACTAGCTGGGCATAGCACCTAAAAACAACAACAAACGTCAACTTTTTTTTTTTTGTTTTTGAACAAGTACAAATTGGGGCTGGGATTTGAACCCAGCTTAAGAACTCGATAATTTATATAATTTATTAAAAGAATTAACATTAGTGGTGTTCGCATATATATCCTCTTCTACTTTTTTCTATTTTTGGGTTTCCAGCCCAAACGTTACCATTCAATTAATGTGTAGAATTGCAATATTCATGGAAAACTAGTAATTAAATATCCCTTGTGATGGTCTAAGAATTGGTGTTAATGTGTTTTTGACGAGTGTTTCTTCCTACTTTATGGCACTTGCCAGAAGAGCAAAAGCTACCCTACCCACTTCAAGACTTCAACACAAACTTAATGGGCCAGTGGAGTACTAGTTATCTTCTCCCCACGTGAAGGGAAGGCCCCAAATGGTTTTTAATTGAAGAAGGTGACTTTTCCCATATAAATTATATGTACTACCCAGTGTAAATATGTATGTAACCAACCCAAATTATAAAAAGTTACCAAATCCTTTAAAAAGGAGCTTTGATTGGGGCATTGAATTCATGGCTTCTCATTATACCATTCATTACTTGCATTCAATGTTAATTTGGAATATCGTCCAAATTAACATTAGAGTAATATTGCAGTCCATGTGGGGGCAGGTTTCTTTTCTAGCTCATAATTAGAGTCATTTCTTTAAGCAGCATATGGTGCGGTAGTGATAATAAAGGATAATATCCCTACAAATGCTTCTCTTTGAAGAAAGTCAACTTCAATTTTTCAAGTTCCCCTTTAATTGAATTGCACATGAAACATTTTATATATAACAACTGAGTTGATTTGTGTCGGTGAGGTTAAGAAATTAAGAAACAGTTAAAAAAATCAAAATAACTTATTTTAAAGTAAATTGAGATTCTTTTGATTTTTTTTATAATATTTTTATTAAAAAGATATAATTTTTTAGATATCTAATTAATAAACACTAATCTTAAAATTTATTGTATTCAAAATTTGCCGATAACAAAATAAATAAATAAAGTCAAGGTAAGTAGAAATGTGGAGTGGATGGAAGGAGACAAGAAGGGGTGCGTGCAAGTTGTAAACAAATAACATGGAAAGATCCCTAGACAAAGTGCAACCAAAGCCATTAATCTGAATTTTAGAAATTAATATATATTATCTCCAACAGCTGCAGAAGGGAAGCAGTCATGCACGTCACGTAGCAGTGTAGCACATGTGCTTTCCTTTCATGCTCACATGCATCTTTATGTTCACATGCTTCTGCTTCAAATGCTCCCATGCACGTTACAAAATGCCCACAATCTCAACCCCATATATGCTATAAATGTACACATGCCGATCAAAACTATTATGTACACATACCTTGTACTTTTTGTGTACCTCTTCCTTTATTTCTTAATTCTTATATCATATATAAGATAATATATATGAGGTAGTTATTTATATAGATGTTAAAATTTGATATATAATCTATGGATGAACTACAACCGCCTTTGTTTTTTGCACAACTAGGGGAAGGAATATCAATAACGTGCCTGCACATTGCCGAAAACCAAAATACGTTATTGAAAATAATGTAGTATTGTATAATATGTTGGTAAAAGTCCTTTTAGTGATACTTCCCTTGGTAATACAATTGTGCCTATCATATTTTATTGTATATATATTGCCTTGATATACATATTGAATTTTCTATTATTTATCATGTTTTAAGCCATTTAGGTCAAGTTTACTTCGCTTAATAATTATCATTAGTAGTTTAAAACAATTTTTTTAGTCAATATAATGATTTTTTTTTTTACAACAAAAAATTGAAAAGGAAAATATAAGGGACATGCATTAAGAGGACTGTTCTTTTTTAAATGGACAAGTCCTCAACCCAATTTACATGCAGTACTTTGAAATTAATTTTTCTATAGTGCTCTTAATTAAAGACAAGTGTTTTCTTCAAATCACTGAACTTCTTTGGCCCAGTAAATGGAAATTTGTGCTACAAAGGGAAAATTCTTGTCTAGACCTGAAACTTCCATGGTAAATGGAAAGTGTACCCTCAAGATTTTCATTAATCTTGACTCTCAATGCATGTGTAAATTAGTAAAGAAATAGGCTGATTGACCAAACCAATTGAAACAAAATAAACTATAGGTGACAAACAAATATATTTAGTCTCGATATCAATTAAAAAATGTTGATCATAACTCCATCCCCACAAACCATAAAACCTAGGAAAAACTAAAGAATATCGAAGAATTGACTCAAACAATGATTAATTACTTTTAATAAAATTAAATGGACCCCATGGAAGAGCAAATGTCTAGAACCGGGTGGACAATTTCATGCCACCCCAATGAGCACCTAATTCTCTGAATTTCTTAATTAATGTCTCGGCTTCACATGACTTTGCCGCACATGCACTGCCATTGTGCCCAAAATTTTCATTGTTTCTCTCGCCAATTTCCTTGTTTTCATAAGGGCCATTAGCTACGTACACAAGACGATGTTCATCAATTTGCTATATATTATTCCATTACGCCATCTCACTGAAATCCATGCCCACATATTTGGGTCCCCATCGATTCCCTAAAAAATTAGTCTCTCCCTTTCTTCCCTATATAATTATATAACTCCTCCCTCCATTATTCTTATGGCTTTTCTATTATTGTAACACTCTAATATACAAGTTAAGAGTCTATTTATTATATATTTTTATAATTAATTTACATGAAAAATATAAATATTAACTTTAGATTAATTAATTAACTAAGTAAAACTATTTACATAGCAATGATATTAAAATAAAAATCAATTTTTAGAATTTTTCATATAATTAATTATAAAATAATGCATTTATTACACTATTACGGTATAAGTTAGACAAACTCATAATTTTTTTCTAACCTATGCCCTCAAAAATGGACTTATTATACTTTTTGGTATTAATTTTTATAAAAAATATAAAATTGACATAATTTCAACATCGATGCCAGTAGAATTAATTTAATTGAATGATTATTAAAATTAATATCAATTTTTATTTTTTAATATTAATTAATACAAAAATTACAATAAATGTACCATTAGCCTGTATCCTAAAAACACCCATTATTTTTTTTTTTTTGCCACAACTTTGTATAATATGAATGAAAATTGAAATTTTCTTTATCAATTAAAACTATTTAACAAGAATCATTCACATTAAAAAAAATCAATTGTTATTTATATGTTATATAAAAGTTTTACTTAAAATTATGTACAAAGATAGTTAAAAGATAGTTATAATATGGATAGATAAATAGGAACAAAAAGAATTAATATATATTCCCTTTGTTCTAAACTATTTATCATTTTTTTTACTTTTTCTCTAAATTAAAGATTTAGAGATAATTTATATATTTATCTATAGAATTCTTAAGAAAAAACTAAAAGATAAAATAAGATTTTTTGTGATAAGATAGTGATAAGGTTAAAGTAAATATATATTTGTTTATTCTAAAAAATAAAAAAATAATTAATTTAAGATAAATTTAAAATTAAATAATAACAGTTATTTTGAGAATGACGGAATACTAAATTAGAAATTAAACAAATTTTGGTAATTATCTTCCTGTTGGCTGTTTCTTGGAGCTAATAGATTAAGTGTGAAAAAGTAAAATTAATTTGAAATTCAAATTATTAAAATGTGTGTGTGTGGGAGGGGAGGGTTTAATTAGGAACACGATGATTATTCTCTGTTCTATGACATGAGTAGATCAGTCTTATGACTCTTATCACATAATTGCATAACTCTTTGGCTTTATTCTCAATATTTTTACATTAATTTCGCGGCAAGTGTTATTCTTTTTTTTCTTTTTTCTTTTTTTGCCCAAAATTATTGAAGTGAAATTTAATTCAAAATTGAAGATTAAATAACAAGATTAATGGATGACACAGACACCGGCAAAATAGTGAGCTAACCATCTCCTCATGTGCGAAACGTATAATGTATTTTAGGTATGGGAACCACATCCTTTATGTGGTCCATTGCCTCAACCAGAAATGCTTCACCATTTCTTTGATTTCCCCTCATTAACTATCAAGCTCAAGTTGATATATATCTTTAAAGATTAGTGTTATAAGTCGAACTTCTAAATAATAATAAAAAAATACATTGAAACTATATTTAATAAAGTATCATAAAAAAATATATATCAAAACAATCTTAGTCATGTTTTAAAAATAAGTTATTTTAATATTTTTTTAATAAAAATTAATTAAATTAATATAATTTTAAAATTTTTTATTTCAATTTTTTAAAATCCTAACTGATAAATACTTATTTCATATTTTTATCCCACCCAACTTGACACGCAAAATTTGATTGGGTGCTTCGTGCCTCAACTTCAAAAGGAAATTTCAAATTCTAAATATTCTCCTTATTTCAAAAAATGGAGAGAAAAATTTATGAAATGAAATTGCTTCTCTAAATTAGACCATTTGGACAAAAATTAATTAAGAATACGATGCCATAGAACAGTCTTCTCCCTACTTGGCTACTCTACTTTAGGGGAGGTTATAGCCTTAATTCTACAATTTCAAATTTTTAGGACCAAAATTAACAAAGCTATTACAATTCAAGGTTAAAGTTTTTGTAATATTCCCCTAAACCATGTGCATGAAATTGGTCCCAACATGCTGATGAATCAAGAAATCATCTCCCCCGCTGGATACGCCGAAGATCGAAGTTTGACTATGAAATTGTTGCTGCTGCGCCCTCTGCAATTCTTTCTGCCTCCTAAGTTCCAGTACTTTCCGGTGAGAATTCGAATGCTTCGCCGACACGAAAGTGGGGCTCGCAGCGGGTCGGTATTCGGGGACCAACCGACCTGACTTGTACCTAACCCCGCAAGCATTGCACAGCGTTTTTGGACCCATGGGACCAGTACGCCATTGCGGGGTCTTCTCCGCCGCGCAATGCAGACATTTCCGACCCGTTGTCTCTGCCTGGTTGTCTCGCTTCTTGGGCTGCGTTTCCGCCTTGGGGGTGACGTGGAGTAGGCGCATACTCCAATCGCACGGGACGGCGCGTGAGCGTTTGGACCGGGCCTTGCCTGGCAGAGGAGTCTCCCGTTGGAAAGTAGGATTGGTTGGGCTAGCGGAGGCAGAGTCGGCCTGGTTTGGGGAGGAAGAGGATTCCGGTGTGGGTGATTTTGATCCTGAATAAATGTGGAGCTTGCTCTGTAAATTTTGGTCCGTCGAGAACGAGTCTTCGACGAAATTCGACAGCCATTCGAGCTGCTCCAAATCATCATACTGCCAAAAGAAAGGAAAAAAGAAAAAGGAATTCAATACAACAATTCAGGAGATTTTTAATTTTACAAATTTCATTCTTTTTTCTTAAATTTACAGAGTTTACTTCGAACAGAGAAGTGGGAAATTACCGGCACGCAAAGTTCACCGGCGAACTGAGAATTTTGAACTAAATTCCCGGAGTAGAAATTCTTATCGCTTCCAGAGTTGCGGATGACAGTTGAGGAGTGGGTGGAATTTCCCGCGACATTGTCAGGGAAGCCGTCGCTCATTATGGCGTCGTCGTTAGAGAAGTTGAAGAGGTCGTCGACCATGAAATTCTCAGCCGTTTTGTGCTCCGTGATCTTCTCCGGCGAAAAATCCCCCGAGCCACCGAAATATCCTCCCATGAAGAAGTCGGCAGCCTCCATTGACGTTGTAAATAAACAATATGTGCGTATGTAAAAAAGGGAAATTCAAACAATTTTGAGAAAGAAATTGGGCGAACAAACAAGGAAGTGAAGAGTTGTAGTGAGAGAAAGTAAGTTTTAGAGCGAGAAAGGACGGCAGGAGGTTGGTGTCGGAGTTTTGAGAGAGTGGAGAATGGAGAGTGAAGGGGAAGGTGGGTTTTGAGGAGTGAGGGGAGGGGCTGAAATGAAAATAAATGAAAATAGGGGTATCTTTTTGTACAGGGAGGAATATTATTTTAATGATGGCAAGTGACTTGCAAGTTCTGTAAAGAACTTTTCATTTTTTTAATATTAGAAGTAACTAGTTTTTTTTGTTTCTGTTTTTGGAAACAAAAGTAATACAATCATATTATCTTAGAAGTATTGCTTAAGGGTTTTTTATTTTTTATTTTTATTTTTTTACTTTTTATGCTTTTGATTTTCCTCTTTTTTATTCATAATTATGCTTTTGTTACTTTGGTTTATGTTTTGATTTTGGTAAGGTTATGAGTTGGCAATGGTAACCTTTGGTCTATAAAGTAAAGGTATCAATATTATTGCTTCAAACAAAGGTAAACCTAATTGAAGAGTCAAACAACGGTCACAAAGCCAACAATATATGTACTTTAGTGTTAATACTCCTTTAATAAAAATAAAAAATCTTGATTTTAAGTTGCATAATTTGTAAATAAAATATGATTAAAGAATGAAAAATGATTATTTTTTATTGTGTGATTTAATATTAAAATGATATTTACTTAATTTTTTTTAATAAAATGATTTTTTTATATACAATAAAATAGTTAGTGAAATTAAAGATGAGTTTTTCTATTGGATAAAGAATGAAAAATGATTATTTTTTATTGTGTGATTTAATATTAAAATGATATTTACTTTATTTTTTTTAATAAAATGATTTTTGTATATACAATAAAATAGTTAGTGAAATTAAAGATGAGTTTTTCTATTGGATAAAGATGTAATAAATGCATTTTTATATAATTAATTTCTATTGAAAGTGTAAATATTTATTTCAATTTAATGAGTTAACTAATTAAAGTTACTTATGTGTTATTAATATTAAAATATATCAATTTTTATAATTTTTATGTAAATTACTTATAAAAAAATATATTTATTATACTTTTAACATATATTCTTAAAATACTGATTAGATAGACTCATAATAAAATAAAATAAAAAGTAACTAAATGGGCTAACTCTTTGTTAGATATTCTCGATAACGATTATATGAAATAGAACTTTTCAAACAATCATTTGGTTTTAAGAAGCACGGAAATATCCATTGCCTATTTTAAAAAAAAAAAAAAAAAACACTGAAATATATAATTAGGTTTCAAATTTAAACCTTATTCAATAATAATTTTCACCTTTTCTATGTACTTGCTCTCAAAACTCTAGTTTTGTTGACAAAAATGAACCTCAGGTAGTAGCATATGGTTGACAAAACGAGTAATGACTTAATCCCAAAACTCATTTAGTCAAAGTAATTAAGAAAATAAAGCATGAGCTGTAGCTGTCATACAAAAGAGCAACAGCTTGCTAGGCCACTGAGACAAACACAACTGTCGTTTCCTTAATTACTAAACTAGCTTTTAATTTTTTTTATTAAAATTTTATTTTAAATTCACCGTCTTTGTTACATGCTCATTACTAATTTTCTTTAACATTGTTGTTAAAGCTCACGTTTAATACCATAAAAAAAAAATAAAAAAAAAAGCTCATGTTTAATACTAGTACCTTTTTTAAAGTAATAATTAAAGAAAATTTAAAAGTAGAGCTAAATTAACCACAATAATATTCTTTTTGTTAAAAATAATTATTTTAATTTTACTTTTTAACTTTTTAAGACAACAAATTTAAGTAAAAATTTAATAATAACATATAATAATAATTAAAATTTTTTATTATATGATATTACTAAAAAAAATTACGTATGAGAAAAAGAGAATTTTTGAGATTTCATACAAATAACAATACAATTTTTTAAAACTATCTAATTCTTATATGATATTTTTTCCTTACTAATAAAAAAATAATACATTTTAACAATTTTTAATTAAAAATATGAGTTTTATAATTTTACTAAAAAAAATTAAGTGGATCATATTTTTGATTAAAAATTTTTAAAAAGTAATAACTTTAGTCAATAAAGAAATATTGTGTTCTTAACTAAAATTTTTTTAAAAATTGTATTTTTATTTATACAAAATCTCAATAGAAATTTTTTTTGTTCAAACTAATAAAAATTTAATTTGATATTTATTTTTATGTTAAATTTTTAATTAAATTCTTTTATTAAAAATAAAAAAATTAAATTAATACTACAAAATAGAAATATCATTCTTTAGTTTAATTTAATAGTACTAATATGGAACTATAATTGTAAATTTTTAAACTTTTAACATATTAAAAATATAAAAAATATATTTAATATATTTATTATTTATTATAATTAATATTTTATATATTTTTAAAATATTTAAAAAAATCAAAACTAAAAGATTTAAAATGATTGTGAAACAAAACCTTAATCTGTGCATATTGTGGGACGACAAGAGCTTCTCTTCTCGTCTGTCAAGTCTTTATCCACAAAATGGGAAAACGAAAATAATTAGTAATTTATAATGTTGTCAGTAAATAATTCTTTGCAATTAATGAAGTTGTTAACTGAACCTGATCAGATGGTGGTAAAACCAAAATAAAATGCCATTGAGACAACAAAAAAAATAAAAGAATTCAATTCAATCCCAAAAGAATCAATCTTTTGCAGGTTTTGTTGCAGTGATTATTGATTCCTTCATTAATGTCCAAGTTTACAGCAGGATTCCTCTACAATTCTTCTTTTCTTTTGTTTTAATTTTCTTGAAAATTGTGATTTTCCTGCTTTATTTTAATTTGGCTGACATTGAATTTGATTAAATTAAAAGTGCAATTTATCGGCTGTAGCTTAATCATGCTTGTTATTTTATTCCATAACCCACGTTTAGGCACGATGTTTACAGCTCAACTTTGGCTGAAATTGACGGTCTGATATGCATATATTTAAAGCACATAAGAGAGATACTGGTAAGTGGTAACTAAGTGGCTTGGTTGGTTGGCTAGGTTGTTTGCTTCTTATCTTTTTACAAACGGTTAATGATAATTGAACATATTTTCATATAGGTCTAATAAGTGAGAAATGGATTCATTTAAAAAAGTAAAAATAAAATAAAATAAAAAGTTACGTACTGTTTTTGATTTTATTTATGAATTTCTTTAATATGTGTATTAAAGGTAAATTTATTTTTAATATATGTCTTAAAAATAGATTTATTTCATATTTTTATCATTAATATACATTAAAAATAAAAATTGACATCAATTTTATTAATTTTTAATTAAAAATATTCATATGACATGAGTTTTAAAATTAATGTTAACTTTTTAATTTTTTTATGTAAAATAATACATAAAAAGTGCATTTAAAACACTATTATTTTGTGCTCTTAAGATTCAAATTAGACAAATTATTTATTCATTTATTCATTAATCACAATTATTGAGAAATTTAATTTGATATTAAAGTTCCATGTATTATGATTTTGGTTTTGGATTTTGAGTTCTCTTATTTTATGTATTTAATCATTATTTTTATATTTAAAAATCAAAATTTATTATAAAAATTTTAATTTATTAAAATTTAATTTAAGTATAATACTAGCTAATAAATATATGAAAAATAAAAACCAAAAACAAAAAATCATAACCTATAAATGGAGCTTTAATAGTAAAAGTTTTTTTTTTCCATTTTTATTCTTAATCATAATTAAACAAAAAAACACAACACCATCCTTATTTTAACTTAGATAAGAATGGAATTTAAATAGTTACTACAATACAATTCAATGTATTTTTAAAATGAAGAATAAAACAATACTCCCTTGGGACTTTTTAAGTAGTCTCAATCCTTCAATTCTATGCAAATTAACTTAACCATTTTACATAACAAATGAATGACAATTGAAAATTTTTTTTGATCTAAATAAAAATACCTAATAAGAATTACAGACAAAAAAAATTTTCAATTATTATCTATTTATTATATAAAATTATCTGATCAAATTTTATTTAAAAGTCAAACTAGAAAAACTAAATTTGACCAGAA